TGTATCGTCTCTTTAATTACACTCACATTCACACCCACACCAAAATGTATGTTTTTTATGAAAATATAGAAAAACTACAGTATCACAACATCTCTTGCTATTGAAAAAAATGGTAGAGATAATTGAAAAATCACTGTGGATGTGGTTATAGGAGTGTATGAACAAAATTTCCATACTCTCGCTTTTTCCAATTTTTAAATATCGACAGAAAATTTTGATTCAAGGTTATCTGAGAATAAGTGAATGATTCAGCGATTGTAATAAGTTGGCAATCGAGAAGCTTCTTTAGTTTGAATACACTCGAGATTTTATTAGCATTGAGTAACAATAACAACGAAAAAAAAAGACAAGGTTGCGTATAAAATGTCCCACTGATCATACTTTATTGTGCGTTTGGTAATCTAATTGATGAAGAAAAGAATTTCTGTTTCCATGCATTGAGATCTCGTTTGGAATCATGTTTTTCTATTGCATCTTGCCAAGAACCACGCTTGATATCCAGAGCTTCGAGAAAAGCCACTAGCGTGTCTCGCAATGATTGCAATCGATCCAGTTCATCTTCTTGACTTTGTTCAAATATAACAACAGTATCTTTGTGATATTTTTTCTCAGCTCGTTGATACATTTTTGTAGCATATTCAATATTGTTTTTCATTTGTTCGATACTATTTTCCACATCTCTTCGTTTTAATTTCAATTTCGATTGTTCTACTTCATTCGATGACGGATCTCTTAATTGATTTTTAATTCGATTTAAACGATCTTTGAGTTTCCTCAATTCTCTCTCATATGCATTCAAGTCATTTTGAGTACGATTGACTGATGTACGCGCTTGTTCAAGCTGAGCTTCTCGTGATGTATATTGTTCTTCCGTTGGGATCAATTTCGAAGCATGCCGAAGCTGACGATGTGAATAATCAATTTTTTTGGCCAGCTCATAACCAATTGAACTGATGGATATGAACATTTGGTGTGTTGTTTCATAGTAAGCTAGTGAAGAAGTATTCTGTTCAAATGTACCAATCCATTTTTTACTCCATGCTTTCAAATCTTTGGAATATTTTCCTTGAATATCACGCATTTCTGTGACCATCAAACGAAGCTTCTTTTGAAGTCGAATCCCTTTTTTCAAAATCGATTAATCGAGATTAAAAAGATCTTAATTTCTTACCATCAGTTTGCTGCTGAACGCTAGGTGAATAATCAATTTCGTCTTCTTCATTCAAAACCGGACTTATTTGCGTTTCTGGAGTTGGTGGAGAACTCGATCTACGCCGTATTCGTATTGGTGCGGCTTTCTTTTGATATCCCATACACTCTAGAGCCATAGTACCTTGCACAGGTCTTTAGAAATTCTGACAACGTAGTTGGTTTTATCTACAATATTTATCCAACTTCGATGCTACATAAAAAAAATATTTCTCTCATTCTCCATCAATGAAAATATAATCCGTTGGGAATTTTATTATATAGATTTGAAGAATACGTTACCCATAGGTTGATGATCGAAAGTTCTAGCGTTAATATTTATACGCAGTTAAAATTTTTCTTGCGCAAAAAAGGTGAGAATAATATTCTACTGACATAATTTATGATGCATGAGAAGCATGTCATCGATCGACGTCATGTATTTTTCTTTTTATAGCTTTAGGTGACAAAAAAAACAAAGCAATAAAAGATTATTTTTTTATTTTAGACATAGTTGATTTAAACAAGAGAATGACAGAAATATATAAAGAGTTCGAAAAAATGCTCTGTTCTGCGCCATTCATGTTGGCTGTTGGAAGATACTTGAATCACTTGAGTTTATATTCAAAATGCATGATTTCTTCCCTAGATAAATAATGAGATTAGGTTTTTTCCGTTTTATTATTTGAATTATGACACAAACGTCATCTTGTAAACTGAAAAAATTACCATTTTATCCATTTATGGGAAAAATTCAGGCAATTCAATTATGAATCATTGGTGATAGCAGCCAATAATGGTTTGAGAATTTGAAAAAGAACTGTCACAGAAATGTTGAAATCGATAACTATTGTTTTTTGAAGGCAAAACGCAGTCGGAATTCACAATGATGTTTAAATTAATTAACTGTCATCCAAGCGGGTCTGAATAGATGATAAGACAGAATAAAATCTACTAAAAACTGGTTTTCTCAAACTAATGAATGGCTCATACTGATTCATTCAATACCAAATAGAATGTACTTAAACTCGTCAATATGGCGTCGTACTCAGGTTTGTTCAGCAATAAAGTATGACGTCATAATAATTCGATGCATCGTAAGTAACGAATGAATCCTTCATGGTTGCCGAAAAATTGTTATGCATGACAGAATTGATAGCCTGTATCAGGTCAATCTCTGTGTTCTACGGGTATTATCTTCAGGGGACAATGAGAATGCTCCATCGTGAGTGAATAATCACCCAGAGATATAGAATACGCCTAAACATGATTTTTGCATTCTTTTTATGAGAGTTCAACATCCATGTATGTGTCATAATTACGATTGAGTTGTGCAACTTCACTCAACAATGTCAATGTAACGTTTCATATAAAATTAAAAGTATCACAGACAATATTGGTAATGAACAATATGGTACTCACACTAAAACAGATCTCTTCCTCTGATAGTAATTACATAGCTTTGCTCATTGGCATTGGAGGCGATAAGATTCTAGAAAAGATTTTGATCGATGTGGATTTTAAAGAGAATATAGTGGAAATGATCATTTAGGCTTCAGTTCAACAAGATGATCGTATTGGCATCGACTCTCATGAGGAATAAGTTAAACTATCGATTAAGCGGTGAGAACTGAAATCTGTTGGATGTTATCATTCAACCGATACGTGGTTCTTTAACCTTGTCTTGACAAAGTACCGTGCTCCAGTAAACAATTGTTGTCATTGAGCAAGGGCAGCATGCATCCATTAATTTTATACAAAGCTAAAAATGAAGTGTTAAGACGTGTATAGCGAATAGATAGTCTTCGAATTGAGAGTTCGATTGACTAACATTGACAGGAAACATGATCTGATATACCTAGATATGATATCGAATGTTTGATACATCATTTCAAATTTATCAATATTGATCAATTCGGAACCATCATGTGGTCGATAGTATATAAGACATTCAGTCAACACTAGTTCTTTGGCTTAGTATGAATTAGACGGCATGGCTATGAGGAATGACTTAGAAGAATCTAACAAATCTAATAAGACATGAGACTCAGATGATCTATTAGCTGAATGTGAATAACCCATTTCATCATTTCTAAAACGAATCCATTGATGCACTTGTTGGGTTTATGTTTTAACAGGGCCAATTAAAAAAACTGTTAACACAATACCTGCGGGACCAAAATGTGAAACATAATGTAGTTGCTATTGCTAATCACAGAGATATTATTTTATTCTATCTATTTTTGGACACATCTCTTCTCCGTCCTGTTACTCAATCATTCAGAAATGTAACGAGTAAGTATTTCATATATTATAGTAAGTCATTATCCATATACAGTTTTTGATCCTATATCAATAACGTGTGTCAGAATCTATGACGCGGCCTAGGGGAAGTGTTGCTATGATATTTGTCATGGTCTGTGGAAGCAGGAAAATAAGAGGAGAGGAAAGTTGACAAGTGCAAATTTCTACCATATATACTTAAATATTCTTTCTAGATCATGTTTCACAAAAATAGCTGCACAAAAAAATAAGGCATAACTTATTATATTGCTATATAATCTTATCATCGTGGCTATTTTTCCTTTTCTAATGCTCTTCATCTTGTTCACTAATGAAATCATGAGTATTGTTAGCGTCATTGGTTCTGCTGCAGCTAAGTAACTAAGCAACGTAAATAAGCGGCTCGAATATATTAAAGAACGAGGGTAGATAAAGCTGTCTTCTGTCCTCTCCCTCCTCAATGTTAATTAGCAATATGATATTTAGAGTGAATAGAGCTTTATTTCCTGCAAGGTAGAATGAGTTCAATATGGTCATCCTTAGGGTTCTATGCCCATGTAAAAAAAAAGTAGAAAAATTTCACTTTTAAGTACTTTTCATATTAATAAAGTGAAAAAAAGTCACTTTTTGCTACTTTTTTTCACTTTTAAAAGTACTTTTACATACTTTTCTACTTTTGAATGTACTTAATAGTACTTTTTTCTAACAAAAAGTATTGCGAGTACCTTTTGACACTTTTTAAAGTACTTATTAGTACTTCCTCTGTAGATAAAGTATTGAAAGTACTTTTCGATACTTTTTGAAGTACTTAATAGCAAATTTGTTTAAAATAAAATATTGAAAGTACTTTTCGGTGTCATTGGAAGTATTTATTAGTACTTTCCGGTCACATAAAGTATTGGAAGTACTTTTCGACAATATTTGAAGTATTTAATAGTACTTCCTTATAACAAAAATTTTCAAAGCACTTTTGGATACTTATTGAAGTAGTTCATAGTGCTTTCTTATAAGAAAAAGTATTGAAAGTAATTTTAGATACTTTTTGAAGAACTTAATAGCACTTGTTTATAACATTCCAGGTCAAAGAATCAGACTAACAGGTTGTACCTTTGATCTTGCATGCCCTGGTAGTATCAGACGAATATTGCACGAAAAATGTTCGTCTCTGCAATACTTACATTAAGCCTTGATGTACGATTCTTACAAGATCGTACACATCATTGATGCTGCGCAAGTCTTGGCAGAACATCTACTGAAAAACAAATTAATTTTTTTTAAGACTTTGTGGCAAGGCTTTTGCGCCATCAGTTAATATAATCTTCGAAGAATCGTATATCAAGACTTAATCTAATTTTGCACACATCAAAACTGCTCGTACGATTTCCGTCTGATATTACAAGATCATACATAATCAGACTTCAGACCCCAAGATCTTACTCTCTCATTGTTTGACCTAGGAGAAAGTATTAAAAGCATCTTTCGATACAGTTTGAAGTATTTAATAGTACTTTCCTGTCAAATAACGTATTGAAAGTACCTATTGATACTTTTTCGATTACTTAATAGTACTTTTTTTTAAAACATAAAGTGTTATAAGTACTTTTGGATAGAGCTTGAAGTACTTTATAGTACTTTTGTATCACACAAAGTATTGTATGTACTTCTCAAAACTATTTGAAGTATCTCATAGTACTTCCATGTCAAGTAAAGTATTCTAAGCAGCTTTAGATACTATTTGAAGTACTTAAGAGTACTTTCCTATCACATAAAGTATTGAAAGTGCTTTTCAATCCTACTTGAAGTACTCAATAGTACTCCTTTTTATAGCATGAAGTATTAAAAAGTACTTTCAGATACTTTTTGATGCAGTTAATAATAGTCTCTACCCATGTGAAAAAAGAAGTGGGAAAATTTCACTTTTAAGTACTTTTGATATTAATAAAATGAAAAATATTAACTTTTTGCTACTATTTTCCACTTTTAAAAGTACTTTTTCACACTTTCCCGCTTTTAAGAGTACTCACTATTACTTTTTTTTTATAACATAAAGTTTTAGAAGTACTTTTGGATACTTTTGAAGTACTTCATAGTACTTTCTTATTAGATAAAGTATTGAAAGTACTTTTCGATACTATATGAAATACTTTATAGTACTTTTGCATAACATGAAGTATTAAAACTACTTTTCGATATTATTGGAAGTACTTAATAGTACTTTCCTGTCAAATAAAGTATTGGAAGTACTTCTTAATACTATTTGAAATAATTAATAGTACTTCTTTATAGAATAAAAGTTTTGAAAGTACTTTTGAACACTTCTTGAAATACTTTATTGTACTTTCTGATTAGAGAAAGTATTGAAAGTAATTTTAGATACTTTTTGAAGAACTTTATAGCACTTTTTTATAATATTCCAGGTCAAACAATCAGACTATAAGATTGCACCTTTCATCTTCCCTGCCTTTGTAGTATCAGACAGATATTGCACGAGAAATTTTCGTCTCTGAAACACTAACATTAAGCCTTGATGTACGCTTCTTACAATATCGCACACATAATTGATGTTGCACAACCCATGTAAAATAAAGTAGGAAAAAAAGACCCTTAAGTACTGTTAGTATTAATAAAGAAGAATGAAGTAACTTTTTCTACTATTTTTCACTTTTTAAAGTACTTTCTCATATTTTCCCCACTTTAAAAAGTACTTCGTATTATTTTAGTGTTATGAAAAGTATAAAAAGTACTTTTCGATACTTTGTGAGATAATTAATAGTACTTCTTAATTATGAAAAGTATATAAAGCACTTTTCGGTACTATCAGAAGTACTTAGTGGTACTTTTGAATTATGAAAGATAGAAAAAGTACTTTTCGATACTTTGTGAGGTACTTAATAGTACTTTACGATACTTTTGGATGTACTTAATAGATGTTTGTTTTGAAAAAAGTATCAAAAGTACTTTTCGGTACTTTTAGAAGCATTTTCTCCATGTAAAGAAAAAGTGAGAAAAAAAAACACCAAGTAGTTTTGATACGAAGGAAGGCAAAAAAGAAGCTTTTTCTACTCTATTTTCACTAGTTAAAGTAATTCGGATGAGTTTTTCACTTTAAGAAGTACTTGATAGTACCTTCCTACCTTATAAAACATATAAAGTGCTTTCTAGCACTTTTGAAAGTACTTAATAATAGTATACAAGCTTCACTAAATAAAATAAGACTATTAAGCCCCTTAAAAGTAGCACAAGGTACATTTTATAGTTTATGCCATGGAAAAGTTTTGTTCACAGTGAAAACGTTTCAGAAAGCACTTTAATAGGGAAAAAAGGTAGAGAAGGTTAACTTATTTCACCCTATTTATATTAAAAGTACTTAACCGCTCGGAACTAGGGCTATTGGAACAAAAAAACAGAAATTTTTTCAAATACTCAAGAATACATTTCCTCAAAATTCGAGAATGTGAGTGTGGGGTGTGGGTAGCAGGTATGAAAGTTGGAATAGGTTTGGTTGCATTAATGGGTTTGGCTTTTGATATGAGTGTAGGTGTGTCAGGGCAGTGCCGTGCCTGTGGATGTGACTGCAAGCAGCAGAACGTCCATACTTCACATTTATACCTGCAGCTACAGCCACACTCGTCCCCACCCGGATCGAAAGCGATGCACCTGTGTTCTATACTGTCATATCTGCTATTAGTCACTCATGAAATATGTGTTTATGTCACGTACTGTTAGTATCACAACCGAAACATACATATGTGCTGCCAGGATCCAAATGGTTAAATTGTGTTTTTCCCCACACTTTTTTAACGGGTTAAGTGCTTCCGAAGCAACGAAAAGTAATTTTAATACTTTTCATAACACGATAATACTCTTAAGCACCTCGAAAACTATTGAAAAGTACTTTCAACCCAAACATCATTAGTAACTGTCCATATAATAGGAAAGAAAAGTCGTCATAAAATCTCATTCTACCATTTTTCGACGAATCAGATTTCATGGATTTTTTCTTCTTATACGGACAGCTACTAGTCATGTTCTGATAGATTCTAAGCTTAGCGAGAACGCTTATTAAATGCCAAGTATGTATGTGAGATTCAGCCCTATCTATCATCCAGCAATAGATTCTCTCACTCATTTGATCTATTTTTTGATGAATCAAGTTTCAGGAAGCCTTTTCTTCGTATTATCTTGGCAAACTACTAGTTTAGCAGGACTCGAGAGCCGTACAGTACTCAC